CCCGCGGGCGCCAACGGGTTAAGCGCGCTCCAGCCGCGAGCCGCCCGCTTAACCCCCTCGGCACCTCAATGTGCTCGCCCCCTACCCCCCGAAACAGGCGGGCGGGGCGTGTGGATCTCGAGGTTGCCGGGTGCAGAACAGCTCCTGCCCCAGCATTTCTGCGGGGCGGGGGAGAGGACGCTTAGGCTCTCGCGGCCGCTTACCCCCGGCGCGGTCGTCCCCCTCCGCGCACCTGGGGGAGGCCCCGCCCCCTGGGCGCACAGGTGCAGGCGGGCGGGCGTTGCTCGAGTGTAGCAGGGCTTTGCCAGGCTCTCCCAGCCCTCCAGAGCCGGGCTGCCCCCGCTCTCCTTCAGGTCGCTGGGGTAACGGAGGAGCAGGTCTCCGCGAAGAGCACCCACTTGCCACTGCCCCAGGTAACACACCTTGGTATCTAAAGAGATGCCCGAAGGGTCCCCCATTCCACCCCAGCCCAGAGCAGGGTCTAGCACCGCTGGGTGCTCCTAAGACTGGGGCGTGGGGAGACAGTCTCCACGACCCGCTCCTCTGCTCCCCCCACACCCCCCCCCCCACACACACACGTGTGTGTGTGTGTGTGTGTCTGCAGGCAGGTACAGGGAAGTAAAAGGACAAGATCTTTCAAACCTCTTCAAGGACTAGGTCGTGCGGCAACACCGCAGCCTCTGTAGGAACTGAGAGGAGTTTGATGTAAGGTCGCTTCATTGTCCTGATTTGGGGCTAGGGGTGTGCACGCGCCGTTTCTGTCTAGAGGGAAAATACGGTATCTGAAGGTGACTGATGTTTTTCATTTGGTCACACTGCTGGAAAGGGACGTTTGCTTCATTATTGCACAAGGTTACATTTGTTTGTTTTTATCCCGACCTGCATGTATCTATGGCATTTGAGAATAGTGTCTTTAAAGGGAAAAGCTCAGCGTGAATTAAGAAAATAAAGGGGTTCATAAAAAGGCATTTCTTTGCCAAAGAAAGCTCACAGGATAGACTTAATTGTTGGGGGTCAGTTAGGGAGAGAAAGTGGGGATCAAACATAAAACTCTCCAGGGACCTTTCCCAGGGGGACTGGGAAGAAGGAAATAACAGGCACCAGTCCTTTGTTTGTATGTTTGTTTTGAGGGGAAGGAGGGACAGGAGAACCCTGTGGCCTACTTAAATATAAAGTTCATCCCGACCACCCCACACAGGCTGCTCCCCAGCCCAAGTCTGAGAGAAGATGGTCACCTTCAAAGAACTTGCCCATCTAAGATCTCTGTGTCCTAAAGCATATATAAAACTTGCAAATGTATGTCACTTTCAAAACTCAAGGTCTACCTCCTTGCCTCTTGAGACCTAGCCTTCAAAATTCCACCCTATTATTTACTTACAATTCAGTTCATACAGCCCCTGTTAAGTATGGAGTCTAGGTGAAAAGGTGTAGGGACTGTCAGTGGCATGGCCTCTTCTTACAAGACATACAATCTACCAAAGGAAGACAAGAGTGTGCATGTCTCTAATATACAGAACACAGGACTTTCACGGCTATAAAGTGTTATATGCGCGTCAAAGATATGCATTACAACTTGGGTTATCAACTGTTTGTTCACAGCAGAGATAGCATCTTAATTCTTTTAAAAAATGGGGAGAGGAAGAAAAGGAGAGATATAATGACTAGCACACAGGGCCATTTTTGGACAGTAAAACTATTTTGTATGATAGTGTGATGATGGATATGGGACATTATGCATTTGGCAGACACCATGAACCCTAATGTAACTGTGGACTTCAGTTAATAATAATGGATCAGTATTGGCTTTTCAGTTGTAACAAATGTGTCAGACTAATGCAAGTCCTAACAATACAAGAAACTATTGGGAAGGGGGTATATGGGGAACTCTGCTTTCTCTGCAATTTTCGTAAACCTAAAACTTTTTTATTAAGCCTATTAAAAACAGGTGACTAATTTTATTAGGCAGGAATGGGATACATGGAATGAGCTTTTGGAGAAAGAGTAATGGGAATGGGAAGAACAGAATGTATTTGAAAATAAGCAGGATACAGTGCGGTGGAGGTTCAGGCCGCCTGGACTGGGGGAGGAGGAGGCTGGGCCAGCCAAACACAGCCAGCGGAAGGTTTGCTGGCTTGCTAAGAAGACCAGATTGATCCTGCAGTGGGAACTAGTGGAGGTGTTTAAGTTGAGAAGTGACATGATTAAATTGCAACTCAGATACGCAGGTTTTATACTTTAGTTCTTAATAACTCTATGCAATTACAGAGTTTTTTTTTTAAAGATTTATTTATTTGTGCCTACCGAACTGGGGGACAGGCCAGATGCTCAGGGACAGCGAGAGGCTGCACCAGAGACAGAGTGGGAAGCAGATCAGGCAGATCCACCAAGTACACTGCTGAGGGGAGCAGCGGGCAGGTCAGGAGAGGTCTGCCATGCCATGTGGTCACCTCTGGGGCAGGCAGAATCGAACTCATGCAGAAGTGGCTTTAGCTTCTTAGTGCTGTGATTTAACCCGATGCACCACCAGGGAGGGCCTGCAATTACAGTTTTTTAACTTTCTTCATCCCAACTTTTGAATGAGCCCCATCTTTACATTATCTCCAGCAAGCATTTTTTAAGGTCTGAATGCCTTGGCCCATTGGGTAATTAAAATGTTTATGTTCCCCATCATTATGTAAATTACTGAATAAGCAAATCATAATAGCTAATATTTTTAAAGGTTTCCTACATGCCAGGCACTAGTTACACAGCACTTTCTATGTGTTCACTGATAATGAGCCTATGAAACAGATATTATTAACTACCTTCATTTTGTAGGTGACAAAATCAAGATATCAAGGAGTTAATATACAGGCTTTCTATACATAACACTCCCATTTAAAAGCACTGAACTGGCATTCTTGATGTAGCTACTTGAATATATTTCATTTCAAAAAACCCTCCTGATATCCCAGGCCAGAACCTCACTATCTCATACCCTGGATCATTAACTGACCGCCCCATCTCCAGTGCTCCTTACACAAATAGTCCATCTTGTACTCAAAAGCACCTTGTCCCTTCCCTCACTTTCCTCCTTCCTTCCATGCCCAATCTAAACCACCTTTCAACCTTATTATTTCGGACCATTCACCTTCACTGTAGTCAGCAGTCTGTTAGGTAGTGAACACTCTGTGCTCATTTCTGACTCTGTCCCGGCTACGTTTATTCAATGACCTGAAATCCTTGCTCACTGATCTCTAAGTAAACCCTTTCTACTTGACAACTACCCATCCAGGTCCTCCCTTCCCCCAGAAGCTTTCTTTTATTTCTCCAGCCACTTCGGACACATGTGCTCCCCACTGCCCCATCCCCACCACCTCTACCTCTCCATCCCTAAAGGCCTCTAGCACCTGGTTATTCCTTGCTTACATACCTTCTTGTATCTTGTTTGATTGCTTCTTGGCTATAAATCCTGTCTCTCCAAGCACTGTGCAGGCCCATATGTAAGAATCATATCCTTTACCCCCTACCCCAATGCCAAGTGCTGTGCTTACAGGAGACACTACTCTGATTAATCTGCACATGATCATAAAAGCCCACAGATATCACTAGAAATTGTTAACTAATATTTACAAAAATCCCATCAAGTGGACCTCCCTGGTGGTGCAACAAGTTAAAGTACAGCACTGTGAAGCTATCTGCAGCCACTGCACCCCTAGTTCAATCCTTCACCAGGGTGGTGACCCATATGGTATGGCAGATCTCTCCTACCCCACCCACTGCTCCCCTCAGCAGTATATTTCAGTAATCTGCCTGTTCTGCTCCCCACTCTGCCCCTGGTGGGTACTCCCACCCTCTGCACCTCTGGCCTGTATCCCAGTTCTTGTATGCTTAAATAAATATATCTTTAAAAAAAAAAAACCCCATGACATGATGACAGAACACCTAGACAGTAAAAATAATAAATGGGGGTGGGGGTAGAAAGATGGGAATTCTGTCCTTTGCACTCCAGGGATTCTAATTAAGGCAGATATCTACAGAATAATATACAAACTGTGAAGTTGAGTTTGAATGAGTCACTCCATCCTCAGGCCCTTGTGCTAAAATAGTTCTAACCCAGTAGTCACTATCAGGTGGATTAAGGATATGGGAATATATAGTCCAGGTAGAGGAATTACATGCACAAATCAGGAAGTAGGGGTTAGGTTGGGACCTGGGGGTACTTTGAAAACAGTGGTAATTGTGAGGTTGCAAAGGCAGGATGAAGTGAGATAGTGGGAAGCCCCTCTATCTGGCTCTCTCATCTGCATATTGTCTTGAAGGCCAATATTTCTTAAGTTTTTTGGTCTCAAGACCCCTTTACACTTCTTGATAAACCCCAAAGAGCTTTTGCTATGTATATCTTATTTGTTTAGCCCTCTTCAGAATTCAAGTGGAATGTCTTAAAAAGTATTTATAATTTAAGACAAGTTCTTTATATGGTCACATAATTTCTTTTCCTTTTTTTTAAATTTATTTATTTATGCTACAGAACTGGGGTGAAAGCCAGAGGTGTGGGGGCAATGAGAGCATTTACCAGAATCAGAGTGGGGAGCAGAACAGGGAGATTGCCTGAAAC